CAAAATTAACTTAGTAGCAAAACATGAACTAAGAGACCCGCCATATGAGCTTGATTGATTTCTGACAAGAATAATATTAAAAACACATCTACACAAATGACAAAAAGCCTAACACAACCGCTTTAAACTTTCAGTTTTTATATCATCATCATCATTATACCACACAGCCAACAGCCATTTACTGAGTTATGAGATATTTTTGCTAACAATCAGACTAAACTCAGTTCACACCTTTAGTTTGTGGTTTTGGAACATGATGATGTCACCACATCTGGTCAGGTGAAGGAAAACGTTATATTTGTGTGTTTACCATAAAGTAGGAATAAAAAAAACACATTATAGTGTGTTTTTAGAGAAATATATGACTATTTTATGCTGCAACACGGTACTGCTGATTTATTTCTTTTTACAAATGATGCAAGTTTTACTTTTTTTTTTCACCAAAATCAGGCCGGAAATGTATCTGTCCCAGGAGTGACAAGTCGAGGTGAGCTGATTTAAAATCACTAAAATAAATCTCTTCTTCAAATCACTTTCTTGAAGCTTATATTAAATGTGCAGCTTCTAATTATCATGACTGAGTCTGTTCTTTTTGCTCAGATCCAGAGGTCCTGATGTTCAACCAGGGGTCCAGAGAGGTAAATATAGACTTGTTCTTTTATATATCTTTAACTTGAAACATTAACATGCTAATACGAGTAGCTGGTTTATAAGCAATAATCCTGAACACTCTTGGCAGCTTAACAAAAACTGGCAGGGATCTGAGGATCATCTGAAAAAYCCAGCCTTCACTCACTGACTCCTCCCATTAGATGGCAGCAAACACCGGTGTGACGGCCGAGGACGAGCTTTTCTTTCTTAAAATTCATTATGTTTCTCATCTTTTCTTCTTCCTTTTTTATGTTTTTATCACCAGCAATTGTCACCAGATAAACTTTATATAGCATCAAGTGTGATTACTTTGTATTTTTGTGCCTTTTAAGAAAAAACCTGCTAGACAATAAAGCAGATTTTAGAAAACACGACTTGTTTGAATTATTATTATTATTATTTTACCTGATCAAATTATTTGTGTTTATTTAACCACAGAGTCCGTGTCGTGCTGAGCTCGTGCTCCTGCTGACTCGGCAGATGATCCACATCCAGTAGTGAGAGGCAGCAGGGAGTGTGGGCTCACCGATGTGCTGCATTATGCAGCCTCTCTTTAAAACTCCGCTGTAGACCTCCCTGTTTTATGTTCTGTGATGCGAGACATTTCGTTGAAATGAAAAAAGATTAAAGCTGCGTGTGTCGGAGCTACTCTCGCTCCCTGAACAGACTGCACTGCACTGCAACAAAGATTAGATGAAAAACTGGTGCATTWTCAGCGCACAGACTCGTGTTTCTGCTTTAAAATGGGAGCTTAGTTGTAAATCCTCTGAATATTTTTCCAACTTAATGTGAAACACGGATTATGTATCATGTCTATTTTATGATCAGATAAAATAGATCCTTAACTTTCCAATGTAGAAGCACAGCCAGTGTGGTTTATCAGTGTTGGGTTTGCACCAGACTGAACCACAGATGTAATGTTTGGTACTGACCAGCAGAGGGCGCCCGGTCTGAGCTGCTGAAGGCTCACTAAGCACTTCTTCCTGCTGCACTGTCCACTTTTCTTCATCCTCAGCCAGCCTTTAACTGCAGCCCAGCAGTTTTGCTCAGTTTCCAGCAGACAGAAGTCGCCGGCATCCCTGCAGTGCAGCCATGGCCACCACAGGTTTGCATCTTTCCTTTATGTTAAGAAAATCCTTTCATGTACGACAGTGTTCTATATGTTTTAGATGCAGTTTGGGCAAATTAAATATTATTTTCTCATGTTTTTTCCTACTTTTCTGGATTGTTAATTCAGTGGTAAAGGCGACTATCTATATGGATAGATCAGTCTCAAAGGAGATTCATAAATCTGCCTAATAGATAAAAATATTAACCATTTCTCTAAAATGAACCTGTCTTGTTTGTGTTTTAAGCTTAAATGTTAGAATCAGAGCTGCATTATCAACGCCCAATAACCTGGCACAGTCTGTACCCTGCAGTATGCAACTGTTTGTAAAATAAGTTCAATGAAGAGTAGAAATCTCAGGTTTCACTAAAAAGAAAACCAAATGCGTAAATGCACTTTAAAAAAAAGGCAGTTCACTCACTTTTTCTGTCCAAGCCCCGCCATCCTGTCAATTCTGCTGCTGCAGCTGGCTTGTAACCAAGTTTTTTTTTCCTGCTGAGTGAAGGTGCTGCACTGAACGCCTCCTTTGGCACAGAATAAATAAATAAAATAAAATAAACTCAGAGTGTTAAATTCAAGCCTGCAGATCTCCCCAAGTCTCCTTATATCAGCTGCTCGTTTTGTCTTTGCAGAGTCGATGTTTCCAGACCAAAGTGACTTTCATTACGGTAAGATTTTCAACACTTACCTCTAAGCTCAATAAACCTTGTTCAACAATATTGACTTATGTGGGGGTTTTTTTCTCTGCAATCTTTCTTGAACAACTTCACTGTGTTTGTTTGGTTAAGTCACATTTCTTTTTGTCTCTTAGATTACGAGACGCTGAGGACCACGGGGGTCGTCCTCGCCGTCATCATGTTTGTCTCTGGCATTTTAATAGCCCTGAGTAAGTTTAGACGATTTCAGCATCTCAGTCATGCGGAGACTTTAGCACAAATGACGTTCTGTAACTTATCTATCGTTCCCCCAAACAGGCAAAAAATTCACTAAATGTGTAAAATCCTCATCCAAGTAAGAGCTGTGCAAGATTTAGCGGCTGATCCGCCCATGCATGTTGTATGCAGTTGAATTGATTACCTAATCTTTCAGGAGTTGGGGAAAAAAAATCTAATAATTAAAAAAAATTCTAAATGGGTTTGATTTTCTAGCCCCCCGCCCCCCTTTTTTTTTCTACCCTGGATGCCATTTCTTTAACAGCTCCTTTCCCCCTGTTCTGTTCACAAAACCTAACCTCCCAGCACTTTGTCAGCTTGGTGCAGGAAAGCCCACTTATCCCAGTGCTTGGTCTTGTTGTGAGGCATAAGATTTCTTAATTGTGTGCATTTAAACTTGTTGTGTACATGTTGGTGGTGAATGAGCGGCGTGTTCTCTCTGAAGGTCGCATGCTGCTTGAAAGGCAAAAWGAGGAGAAAGATGAGCGATGCCGTTGAACCTAAACGTTGCACCTCGGTCTCTTGTTTTCGCTGCGTTGCTTAAAAGTTTGCACACTCTTTCACTTTTTTTTTTTTTTTTTTTGGATCTGGGCATAAACATGAGCAAGGAAAATCATCAGATTTGCAAAGAAAAGTAAATACTAGAACAAGTTATTTAGGGAAAATGATCCAACCGAGAGATAAAATCTAGTAATTTSAAGGTTTAAGAGTTAATCAGGTTGACAATAAGTCACAAAGGGACTGATTTGTTGTCTAATCCTGCACAGAAACGTGATCAACCAATAATCTCMTGTCAGAAACAGGACACGTCAGATACTAACTTCAGCAAAAGAAGCTGGATCACTAAGGGTCAAAGTTTAGGTTTGTTTGTTTTAAAGTGAGAAGTGCGACAATTTAAGGAAGGAAAAGACTCAAATTCATCATAAAAAAAGTCCTTCAGTGAGGCGTGATGGTTTAAGTCTCGTCGTTTAAGCATATTTCACTTTACTGGGGAATTCCATCATGAATGAGACAACAAAAAGGAAAATAAAAGTTTAAAAAGATGAGGGGTGTTGCTAAATGCTAACAAAAGAAAAAGCTAAACATAGAACTTGTTTTGTATGAACTCTTAAAATGGGTTCATGTGTTTGAAAGCCCAAGTTAGTTTGAGTAGTTCAAATKAACAGTTAACATCTTACCTGTAGCAGGTAGCTTTTTCAATGACCTCCGTTTTGGGGCAATGGTCCTATTCTGACTGAACTGACAAGCTAATGGCTAACAAACTGGATCTGTTCAACGGAAATCTAAAAGAACCCAAACCAATTCAGGCCTCGTCCACACAAGTCTTCCAAAATATTTTTATTGTTGGTTTCAAAAATATTTCTGCAGCGCAGCACAATTTCTAGAAACATCTTCAGCCCCATGAAAACACAGAAAACAGCAAAATACAAATATGGAGTTGTCCAAACAGAAACTAGACCAAAAACATTTTTTGTGTACCAGAACTAATTTTTTAGTTGAGTGGATTCACTTTTTCACTAACTTCAAAAAGCGTTAGCATACCAACCACTAAATACTTTGCCAACTACCAGTCTTCAGCTGGAAGGAGACGAAGACGTGTGTCGTCCAAAGGGCTCGACACACGGGGAGCGACAAACTACAGCGATTAGCGGCTGTCATCGCAGCCAGGATGAAACCCGACACACGGGATGCGATAGCGATCGCAGCGTTGCGAATCGCGCTCTTTCAGGTCGCTTGTCTTCACGAAATTTGATTGGTTCTTGACTCTGAAGGCGGGTGTGCATTACGGACGTGTAAACTAAACAAATCTTGCGATGCTAATGATATTGAAAAACAAACACACATCAAGATACAGCTTTATGAGGAAAAATTTACCATAAACTTCACCCTGGTGCCAATAAATTCCCACAAAACTTTTTAGTAATTACTTGGTGAAAGTGTTAGCTAACGGCAGTGTGTAGCATACTCTCCTCTCATTGGTCAGTCAATGAAACCCTCGCTGATTGGTTGTACGCTAAGCGACAGCGACAAAAGTTGAACATTTTTCAACTTTCATATGTCGCATCGCAAGCTCGCATGTGCATGTSTACGTGTACGAGCRCGAAATTTCACATGCACTATTTTYGCCGGTCACTTAGCTGGAGGAGGGCAAGCGATTGTCGCCTCACCTCACAGGCTCCTTAGGAAATGAATGGAGAGCGAGCGACGTCRCCTCCCGTGTGTCGAGCCCTTTAGCTGTWAGCGATTAGCTGTTAATGTTAGCTTATGYTMATTTTTACTTGTTTAGTGTTAGCTTCTGCAAAAAAWWTTTAAGTGTTAGCGCAGCTATATTTTTAGTTATCAAACAATGAGTTGGTGAAGCTAACATTTTTGTTAGCTGTGACCACCGAGTTCCTGGTTGAGGGGAGAAAAATTCTACGCCACCTTGTGTTTTTGTGTAGACAGCCAAAACGCTGTCTTTTGAAAACAATATCATTGCTCCAAGTAGTTTCAAGATTTTTTATTTTTCACGCTGCAGCCAATTTTAAAAAAATGTTTTCAAATAGTATGTCCCTAAAACATCATTTCAGTGTGGACACGAGGCTGAGCCGATTTTTAAAAACTACTTTTTCACAAAAACCTCTCCCATATGAGCCATTGTTACCAATAATGAAGCCCCATATGAAAGAGATTAATTTTCTGAATCAGAGGGCTGAAATTTCTGCAAGTTGTTGTTGAAGACTGATCATTGTTTACTGGAAACCTTTAGATTTTACTTTAAAAACAGATTCACAACAAATACTGGAAGCAATGATTCACACCATGTTGTTACTCAGATCTGACTTATTGATTTAAAAGAAAACAGTAGGTTTTTTTTCATCCTATTATCTTTTATCCACTTTTTCCTTTCCGGGTCCAACAGTCACAGGGACACAAGAGACAAACAACTATCCACCCTCTCCCCCCACACACAGGGACAATTAAGAGTATCATGCATAACATGCTTGTTTTTGCTCTGTGGGGGGAAACCGGTGTCCCAGGAGAAAAACCCCTCTCACAGTCGGTCTTTTTTAAGGAATTCAGCACAAGTCTGATGATTATGATCATGTTTATGCGACGGATCACTAAATAAAAATAAATTCTCTTTTAAAAGTTGGCAAGTTTTTAAGCACCACCTATTGGAAACCTGTGGCTCCAACTATAATTCAGTTTTATGATCTCGATAATAATAATAATAAAACTTGATCAAGTTTAAGTTGTTGCCACAGTTTTCAAACTGTACTTGCATATTTTTTTATTGTGATTATTGTTAAACTATTAAAACGACACAATTATTGTCGCCACTTCGAAATAAGAGACCGTTGGTAGCAAATTTATTTAAGCCTAAATGAGTTTGTAAGCATTAACAATAATTTCTGAAACTATACTGAAGCAGGGTAACTATTTGACAAGTGCTGCACTTTTATTAATTCTATTTACTTCTTCACTAAATAACAAACTAATTCTGCTTCTACAAACTTATGAATGTTTGATATTTAAAAATAAAAGCACAGCACTTGAGCTTGCCAAATAGTGAACCTGCATCGGTGTATAAACATTGATTAATAACTGCTTTATTAAAGATTGTTGGTTTACAAACTCCTAAAAAGCCTCATAAAGCATTAATAAATCTGGCAAACGGGCTTTTATTGTGAAGTAGTACCTAATTAGAGCTGATTTGTTTTTATTGTTTGTCTCAAAGAAATTCCAGCTCTTCTGGTACCCAGATTCCAAAGACAGAAGGTAAGTTTGTTTTGCTGACTTGTTTTTGTTGTTTTGCTCAGAATCAATAGTTCAAACTGTCGTTATCTCATGTTCTCCTTCTCTTTCGTAGTTCCTCCTCCAGCTGTGTAGAAAATGTTGCAAACGTATAAAGAGCAGAAGGACGTCATCACAGGATCCATACAAGCAAACGGTTCATCAGCTGTTTTGTGGAAATGCCTTTTAGTTTTTTTGACCGTATTTCTATCAGCTGGATTAAAACATGGGGTTTACCAACACAACCCAATCCCTAAACTTTAAATTAATCSTTTTGATAAGATTCTGTTCATTTAAAATCTTCCCATCAGTGAAACTTTCTAAGAAATGAAACAATAAGAAACAAGTTTTGGTTCATACATGTATTTTACTTCAGTGAAACAATAAAATGAACACCATGATTACAGACAAAATAAAAAAAATGTCCAGTTTGTGTTACTGTTGTGTTACATTATTCAAAAGTAACATGTATTTGTTTCATTTATTGTTAAGTTTTCCCTCCTGTCTTTATTTTCCCCTCACTGGGGCAATAAAAGTATAGCTTAGCATCACAATAAATAGAATAAAACATATATAACATGTTAAAAATGAAACGAGAATCAAAAACTACATTCTGTAATGCCTCCGGTGTTACAATGGCTTCGTTGAAATTAAAATGAAATCAAAAGCAGCTTTAAGAAAATTTAAGTTACTGTACCAACAGAAATCCTAAAAAATTAGGCTAAATTAAAAAAACCACATTCAACTTTCCCCTTATTTCAGCTTTAAATTCATTGAAAACATGAAAAGTATTAAATAAGTCATAATCCTGTGCTTTACTTGTAAGATTAATCATTTTAAATATGCTTTTACAGCGAGTCTATGATGACACAAAGGTGACAGACGTTGGTGCGTGATTAAGTACCGCTGACAGTAAAAGGTAGGAGGAAACAAAAAAAAAGAGAGACTTGAAAAATAAATCCTCCTTGGCCGTAAGAGTAAAATTACTGCAAGACAGACGGTTCTGGTAGGATGGGGTATTTTCCACCCTGCTCATCTCTGTCTCACYGAGTTCAGACAGGACTGTTTAAAGGCCGCCCTCCACATGAAAACAATCAGATGGAACAGTGCTATTGTACTTTTACTGATGACTCATTGGTAAAATGTACAGTGAATCATCACRCTTACTCACCTCACGTTTARAAGAGGTACAGAACATTCATTGTCCACAAAATAAAACAGGTTTTACACAGTAAAGCTTCTGTTTTCCACCCCCCACAAAAGATAATTGAACCTAATCGACATGTATGATACATACAGGGGAAAAAACAACGTTAAAAGACAAAAGTCTAAAAAAAACATGCTGATCAAACTCAAAACTGTTGCTCAGAGTATCATTATGATATCCTTGTGATGGCTTTTAAACTGAAGAGATAAGAGTTTCAGGGACACAGTCCTGGAGCTTCATTAAACAATTTCATAGAAATTAACATTAAACTGAGAGATTAGCCTGGCAGGAACATGTTATGTATGCTGCTTTTTAGTTTCCATCTAGCAAAGTGATAATTCAAATAATAAGAGGTTCTGTGGAGAGGTTATGACTGATTATTATTTTAAGCCTGCTTTACACGACAAGAGGACCTATTCCAACAATCTTAAAGATGCCCAGATTATCCTGCCTGTGGTGTGCTAACAGTGAGCTGGTCTGTGTCCAAATTTAGGGGTTGCAACCATYGAAGGACCTACGTGGGCCGTGGCCTTTGGTCGACCGCGAAGACCGGAAGAAAGTGGCTGTGAATTTGGACGGTTTAACCTTCATCAAAAAGAAAAAATAAGTAGGTCCTCTGGATGGGTTCTGCTTTAGTGAAACGTTTCGTCTCTCCTCCAAGAGACTTCTTCAGTCTGATGAGTTTCAGGTGAACTCAGCCTTATAAGCACTGCCTCCACATGGACAAACAGGTTAGTCACATGCAAAAGAGGGCCATCGCCTAACAATAGGCTTGATTAGCTCTATTGTTCATAGAAGGTCATGTGCCCCATCACCTGACTTATTGGTTTGGATGCTTCAGCTGTGGTTATTTGGTGTTTTGTTATGTGAATGTAGTGAGTGCAAGCGGGGTTCAACGTCCCCTTGTTTTTGTCCCTCTTTCCCTATCGTTGGGGCCCTGTTTGTCCACCATGTGGAGGCAGGGCTTAAAAGGCTAAGATCACCTGAAACTCATCAGACTGAAGTCTCTTGGAGGAGAGGCTAAACATTTCACTAAAGAAGAACCCATCCAGAGGACCTACTTATTTTTGATTTTTTGATTTTTTTTTTTCTACCTGGATTACTGAGATGCATCGGGACAAGTTTAGCCTTCAGTTTTATTCACCCKTTACCCCAGTATATGTCCTGTCGCCTTTAACCGTGACAACGTTAAACAGAAGCAATGAAGATTGAAATGAACTATTAATATTATAAATGAACAAAATTAGCTTAGAGGCAATACATGAGGAATTAATAGACCTTCCATACAGACTTAATATGCAAATAGCAAAAGCCTAACAACTGAACCGCTTYACACTTTCAATTTTTGTACCGCCAAATTGTAATTTGAAACTGCACTCCTGTCTTGCTTCATTTCTCTCTTTGTCCACCGTTACAAGCAAAATTATTGCCTGGTTGTTGCACAGTGCATCTTGGGATTGGGTGGCTGAGGAGGAGGATGCATTTGTGGGTGGTAATTGGAGGAGCCTTCGAACTTGGACAGCCAAGTGCATCATTGTGACGTTATTGACTTTCATATTTGGCCTTCAAAGGACACAGCCCCTAAATTTGGACACAGCCCTATAGTCTGTTTGGAATGAACCGCTACAATCTCAAATGTTGGATTGTCTTGGCTCGATATCCCAGCGTTGGTGTTCCCTGAGGACAAACGAGCACAYGGCMTTTTGAATGGCTCCATTCAACAGRWAAGATAATAATGATTCATAAAATCCCAGAAATCCTCACACTGATTGTTAAATATACATAAATTTGAAAATTATGTCTTGTATTCTGTAAGTTCAAACAAAACTTTGTTTAAAAGCAGAATATTTTTGAAACTTTAAAGTCCTGAAATGTGTAGCTACCTAAAAAAAAGAAAGAAAAAAGTAAACTGTGTGTAGAAAAATAAATATAGCACCACAGTTTTATTTTTCTTAGGCCTACACTAAATTTAGGTAACTATGAGCAAATTTCAGGCTAATAACTCCCAGAGTTTAAAAAGAATTCCTCTTCTTAACAGAGAAACCACTGTAAAAACTCATTCCCTCCAAATAGGGATTACATGAGGTCTGAAATCAATCCTGGTCCTGCAAGGACACGATACGTCGACGTGAAGAAGCGCTGCGTTTCTTCAGCATGAGCTTGAGCTGGAAATTAAAAAAAAAAGATTGATGGTTTTTAGATGTTTTAATCGCGGTAAACCCCCCCCCCACCACCACCACCACCACCACCACGACCTTGACGGTATGAGACGAAGCGGGTGTACCTGCTCTCCCTGGTGGCCGCTCTGCAGCAGGTGAGCCGGCTGGTCGTTCTCCAGGTTGCGAATGCTGGGATCGGCTCCTCTGCTCAGGAGCAGCTGCAGGATCTCCTCCTGATGGGGACTGCCATGGAGACCGGCCGCCATGTGCAGCGCCGTGTGACCGTGAGCCTGTGAGCAAACGGTGGATCTATGACTCGGGCTGTTTTAATGACTGWAAGTCCTAATGAACAAGTCATTCAGAAAACGCAGTGGTGAGTTTCAGTGTTGGACTCACTTTCATRTTGACAAAGTCTCTCATGTTGGGCAGGGGAATCTGCAGCAGATAGCGCACCAGGTCAATGTTCCCCTCTTTCACAGCCAAATGCAGCAGTGTCTTGTTACTTTTGATTTCCTAGAATTTGAAGAACAGGGAGTGAGAGTGGGATCAATAATGAAACCTCTAGTCAAACGATGGCATTTAAAAGTCAAAGGAGACAGGGAAAATGAAAGAGACGGTGACATAACTTTGGTTAACTGAAAGAACCACTTGCCCCCAGCCCCACAGTGAGCTGTACTTTCTCACAGAAAGTTCATGGTTTGACATATTGGCTGATGAAGCTGTACCTGGCTGAGGAGGGACGCGCCTGCGTTCAGCAGCATCTGAACGCAGGACAGCTTCTCGTTGGCTTTGGCCTGAAGGTGAACGTCTGCCAGCTCCGCGGCTGCCAGAGCTTTCGCCGTGACACTGTGGGAAATGGCTGCACAGTGTAGAGGAGTCATACCTGAAGAGAAGAGGGAAGGCGTGAACCACATTTGAGTTAATGCAGCTCTGYGAGGGACACGTTTCAACCACTCCTAGTTTTATTAGTGTGTGCTGCCAAGGATCAGACTTTCTTGTAAAAATTTTAGACATTTTGATCAAAAGTTCTTTGGGCTTTCTGAGGGTCTGAATCACTAAACTGGGTATTTATATACATATTAGCACTGACAGATTTGGGCCACATAAACCAAACCACTACTGCGCCAGTTTTAGCATTGACAGATTTGGGCCTCATTAACCAAACCACAACTGGGCCAGTTTTAGCATTGACAGATTTGAGCCACATTAATCAAACCACAACTGGGCCAGTTTTAGCATTGACAGATTTGGGCCACATTAACCAAACCACAACTGGGCCAGTTTTAGCATTGACAGATTTTGGCCACATAAACCAAACCACTACTGGGCCAGTTTTATTACTGACTGATTTGGGCCACATAAACCAAAACACAACTGGGCCAGTTTTAGCATTAACAGATTTGGGCCACGTAAACCAAACCACAACTGGGCCAGTTTTAGCATTGACAGATTTGGGCCATGTAAACCAAACCACAACTGGGCCAGTTTTAGCACTGACAGATTTTGGCCACATTAACCAAACCACCACTGGGCCAGTTTTATTACTGACTGATTCGGACCACATAAACAAAACACAACTGGGCCAGTTTTAGCACTGACAGATTTGGGCCATGTAAACCAAACCACAACTGGGCCAGTTTTAGCACTGACAGATTTGGACCCCATAAAACAAACCACAACTGGGCCAGTTTTAGCATTGACAGATTTGGACCCCATAAACCAAACCACAACTGGGCCAGTTTTAGCACGGACAGATTTGGGCCCCATTAACCAAACCACTACTGGGCCAGTTTTAGCACGGACAGATTTGGGCCCCATTAACCAAACCACTACTGGGCCAGTTTTAGAATTGAAAGATTTGGATTACGTAAACCAAACCACAACTGGGCCAGTTTTAGCACTGACAGATTTGGGCCACATAAACCAAATCACACTACAGCTGGACCAGTTGGGATGCACCATCTTAAAAACAGTGTCATGATTGCCACACCTGGCCCACACCCAGTTGACAAACTACTTGCTACGCCAACAGTGCCAGCTCGACACCAGATCTGGACCACACCTGTCGATGTGGGTAAGTCAAACTTCTTGTTACAAAGTGTCTAAAAAATCCTATTTTTAATTAACTGATCTCAAGTTTTTGGTTCTCTGGTTCATCTCATAAGTTTAGAAACCTTTTTGTGCCTGAAAGATTCACAGATCAGATTTCAGGAGCTCAATAAATGAAAAAAAAGGAAAGAAATTCCCCCGAAAGTGGGTGKGTACTAGAGTGAGAAGAGAGGAAAAGCAACAAAAAATAAATTAAAAAAACAAATAGTTGAATAACTATATAACTGTTTTATTTTTTAATCATTTGCATTTTAACACCAAAACATACCTTCAAAATTACGAGCCTCCAAGTTGACATTTAGTCTGCCTGACAGAATCACCTGCAGAACAAAAACACTCTGGTTTAGTAAATTCATCTCTGAGTAAAAGTTTTTAAACACTAAACTGATCCATCTTTACCTGCAGAACCCCCGGGAAGCCATATTGAGCAGCCAAATGAAGAGCGGTCTGTCCTTTAACGTCACAGGCGTTGATGTCGGCCCCTAAAGACAGCAGGTCCTGGACGATCTCTGGCTGGTTTGCCGTCACTGCCACTAATAAAGCCGTCTGCACAAACATGTTCATTAAACTCGTTATATTTATGCATGCGTGTTCAAGTTTTAGTTTTCCAAACTGGAAGAAAAGCCTGTTTTTGTTTAAGTTTTTTTATCCCGACCTTCCCCTTGTGTTCTTTGGCRTCGAGTTTGTTGAGGTCCCTCAGCTTCTCGGCAGCAACAAAGGCRCACTCCCGGAGGCCTTTGGCCGTGTAGATGTGCAGGATGCTGCAACGAAGCAAAATTACTTTCAAATGAGACGAAATGATTGAACTTGTTTTTTTTTTTTCATTTTCTTGTACTTTCAAATCTTTGAGCACGTGTGTGTGAGTCACTGACATGTTTTTGTTTTGTTTTTCTTAATCAGTCCTAAATGTGGTTCTCGCTTTGAGCTCGCAACTAAAACCGAAACTCTACGGTAGTAAATAAATTGTGTACTTTAAAAAAGCACACAAACAATTCACTCATTTCGTGTGTGTGTGTGTGTGTGTGTGTGTGTGTGTGTGTGTGTGTGTGT